GGCCTGAACTTGGGGGAAGTAGCAGGCGGGAGCCTCGTCTGTGTGTGAATTGCGAGGAAGTCTCAGGCGGGAGCCCCCTTCCCTACGGGGTTCGCAGAAAATTTTTATAATCCGAGCGGGTCAGCCAGATCCTGTAACTGTCTTCATGTTTGGGCTCCTGAGGCCTGAAGTTTGGGGGGAAGTATTTGGCGGGAGCCTCGTCTGTGAGTGAACTGTGAGGAAGGCTCAGGCGGGAGCCCCCTCCCTATGGGGCCCGCGTGTCGCATTGGTCATCCGAGCGGGCCATCCTCGATCTTGTAATTGTCTTCATTTGTGGGCTCCTGAGGCCTGAATATGTGGGACGTATCATGCGGGAGCCTTCTCAGTGAGTGAACTGTGAGGAAAGTCTCAGGCAAAAGCCCCTTTCTTATGCGGCCCGCACTTCATGTTGGTAATCCGAGCGGGTCATCCTCGAACGTGTAACCGTCGTCACTTTTAGTCTCCTGAGGCTTCACTATGGGGGAAGTATCAGGCGGGAGCCTCGTCTGTGAGTGAACTGCGAGGCACTCTCAGGCGGGAGTCCCCTTCCTATGGCGCCAGCATTTCACATAGGCAATCCGAGCGGGTCATCCAGATATTTCACCTGTCGTCACTTTTGGGTTCCTGAGACCTGAATATCGGGGAAGTGTCAGGCGGGAGCCTCGTCTGTGAGTGAACTGTGAGGAAGTCTCAGGCGGGAGCCCCCTCCCTACTGCACCCGCACTTGATGTTGGGAGTCCGAGGGGGTCATCCAGATCTTGTAACTGTCGTTACGTTTATGCCCTTGAGGCCTGACTATGGGGGAAGTAGCAGGCGGGAGGGAACCTCGTCTGTGAGTGAACTGTGAGGAAGTCTCAGGCGGGAGCCCCCTCCCTATGGGGTCCGCACTTCATGTTTGTGATCAGAGCAGGTCATCCTCGAACTTGTAGCTGTCGTCACTTTTGGGCTCCTGAGGTTGAATATGGGGGAAGTATCAGGCCGGAGCCTCGTTTGTGAGTAAACTGCGAGGAAGTCTCAGGCGGGAGCCCCCTCCCTATGGCGCTCGTACTTCACGTTGGTAGTCCGAGCGGGTCATCTTCGAACTTGTACCTGTCGTCACGTTTGGGGTCTTGAGTCTTGAATATGGGGGAAGCATCATGCGGGAGCTTCGTCTGTGAGTGAACTGTGATGAAGTCTCAGGCGGGACCCCCTCCCTATGGGGCCCGCATTTCCTGTTGGTAATCCGAGCGAGTTCATCTTGGAACCTGTAACTGTCGTCACCGAGGCCTGAATATGAGGGAAGTATCAGGCGGGAGCCTCGTTTGTGAGTGATCTGTCATGGAGTCTCAGGCGCGAGCCCCCTCCCTATGGGGCCCGCACTTCACATAGGTAATCCGAGCGGGTCATGCTCGAACCCGTAATCGTCGCCACTTTTGGGGAGCCCCCGTCCCTATGGGGCCCGCACCTCTCGTGTTTCCTCCGGGTCGTCCTTGGGCTCGCGCTTCCTTTCGGTCGTCCTCCGGCGCGTATCCGCCGGGACACACGTTGTGCGTTTCCGCTGGGTCGTGTTCCGCACGAGGAGGCAGAAAGAGGAGGAAGGAGGATGCAGGACGAGAAAGAGAAGCAGGAGGAGGAGGAGGAGGAGGAGGATTAGGAATAAGCAGAGGGCGAGAAGGACGAGGAGGACATGGAGGAAGAGGAGTGCCTTGGGAGGCCCCAGGATGTCCCGGGAGGCCTAAAAGGCTCCAGGAGGCCCCAAGAGTCCCCAGGAGGAGGCAGGAAGCCTAAGGAGGAGGCAGGAGGAGGGGGAGGCGGAGGAGGAGGGGGGGGGAAGATGGAGACGAGGAGGGGGAGGAGAAGGCGGAGGAGGGAGAAGGAGAAGAGGAAGATGGAGAGGGGAGGCGGAGGAGGAGGAGGAGGAGGAGGAGGAGGAGGAGGAGGAGGAGGAGGAGGAGAAAGAGGAGAAAGAGGAGGAGGAGGAGGAGGGATAAGGAAAGCAGCAGGAGGAGGAGGACGCAGGAAGCAGGAGGAGCATGGGGAATGGTGGGAGGAGGCATAACGAGGAGGAGGAAAAGGAGGAGGGGGAGGAGGAGGTGGTGGTGGAGGAGGCAAGAGGAGGAGGCAGGGGTCGAGGCAGGAGGAGGAGGAGGAGGCAGGAGGAAAAGGAGGAGGCAGGAGTAGGTGGGAGAAGCGAGGGGGCAGGTGGAGATCCCCAGGCAAGCTTAACGTATTCTCATGTGGGGGCCTACCGTCGGAGTATTTTTCACTGAAGGATGTGCCCCGCTGGAAGATATTCGCATGACAATCCTGAGCGGTGCCAAAACACCGTTCCTGAGACTTCAACGCCGCGAATCATCTTTACTGTTGCGGCCTGACAAGTTTGAATCCTGCAAGAACACTTTTCAGGGATTTCAACACCACGACTCAAAGTAACTGTTGCACCTCACAGTCAGACATCGTGCCCAAACACCACTATCGGGACGTTAATCATGAGAGTCCTGAAATCTGTTGCGAACGCTGAAAACAAATGTGAGCGGCGCTAAGGCGAGAGCCTCATTTTGAACAGGACCCGCCTTCCACCCGTGAAACTCTTGCAATTGTTTTAAGACGATTGTGCGCGGGGCTAGGGCGAGAGTCACATTTTGAAAACGACCCGCCCTCAATCCGCGATATTCTTGCAACTACTTCAAGACGAGTGCGCGCGCGGCCAAGGCGATCACTACATGTCTAAAAAGACCCGCCCTCCATCCGTGAGACTGTTGCAACATCTCAGATTCACGATCACACGTGATGAGGAATCTCAGGCGAAACGCCCTGCCCGCCCTTGCCACCGACCTCAGGTTGCGACAAAAAGGAGTTATTTACCAGAAAAAAGAATGGAGGAGGAGGAGGAGGAGGAGGAGGAGGAGGAAGACGAGGATAGAGGAGGAGAGAGTTGGAGAAAGGAGGAGGAGGACGAGGAGGACGAGGAGGAGGAAGAGGAGGAGGAAGAGGAGGAGGAGGAGGTGGAGGAGGAGTTCGAGGAGGAGGAGGAGGAGGATTTGTGGAATCTGGTGGCGTGCGAAACCTGGCAGGTTCAGCAGGGGCTGCCGTCCCAGAGTGTTCCTCTGGGGGGGGGCGACCCTTTTCGAGAAGACCCCCGCCATCTCAAAGGGCGCCTTCCTTCGCTCGAGGAAGAAGCAACTGCACAGACATGAGCTGCGCTGGACCCCCTTGGCGGCGCCTCCGGCGCAGCCCCTGGCGCGCTCCGCGCGCCAGGGAGGGGGGCTCAACTCAGATCCAAGAATTCCGCGCGGACCTGCGCGTTCGCCGCAGCCCTTTACTGCTCGCCGTCACGGCGCTGCTGGCTTTTGCGCTTCCCCGCTTCCCCCCACTGCGGTGCCACGCGCACGCCAGTGTCACGCGGTTTCGCATTACATTCGCGCAAGGGCGCAGTCTTTCCAGCATCCAGCCACGATGTCTCAGTGCAGGATGAGTTTCGAGGCGCGCTCCCCAAGTCTCGCGACCCCTATTCGTATTTCAGAATCACAGAATGATGATTCAGAAATTACTTGGGGTCTTGTTTACGCGGCGGCGCCCGGGATGATGAGAAAAACCGGCCCCAGGCCTGGCGGGCTCCTTGGGAGCGCGCTTGGACAGCCGATGGGCCAGACGGAGCCGAAGTGGAGGATTAGGATGAGTGGGTAAAGGAGAGGGGAGAGGAATCAACAGCAGCGGGATGCAATTACAACGACGAACGGGGAGGATCTGTAGTTACCATGAGCTGCAATAGGAGATGGACGATAAGAAGGTGCAGTTGGATATACAAAAGGTGTTATGGTAGCAATTGGCGTCATATCTGGGCGGCAGCTGTAACATTACTAGCCGTATACATTGTTGTAGATGCTCAAACATGTAGTGAAACGTTCCTGGGATTTGCCCACAAGAGTCGGACATCATGTGTTTAACCGTCCCACTCCCCACATTCTTCATTCATCGTCATCTCGCACTACGTTCCCTGCCCCCATCCCCTCTCCTGGTCCGCGCACACGCCTCGGGCGATGCTCTGCGAACCCCCTCTTGAACTCATTTCTTTAAGGGGATCGAGTAATGACATATAAAGATGAAATCTCGGAGGTCCGCGCGGATTTCTCGGATCGGCGCTTGGACCCCCCTCCCGGGCGCGCGAAGCGCGCCAGGAGTGGCGCCGGAGGCGCCGCCAGGGGCCCCCAGCGCCGATCCGAGAAATCCGCGCGGACCTCCGAGTTGTTACGTTTATGCCATTCTTCGTTCCCTTCTCTCTCCTCCTCTCTCGGCCCCCCTGGTCGGCAGACCTGTCGTCGAGAGCATCGCTGCTGGCCAGCGCATGGTCGGGGCCCTCGCCCTCCTTCTCCTCCTCCCCCTCCTCCTCCTCCTCCGCCTCCTCCTCCTTTTCCTCCTCCTCCAGCTTGCCCTGGCGCCGAGGCGCCTGGCGAGGCGAGCGACGGGCGCTGACGGTGCGCTCCGGACATTATTTTGTAAAACTCCTCCTCTTCCTCCTTTTCCTCCCCCTCCTCCTCCTCCTCCTCCTCCTCCTCCTCCTCCTCCTCCTCCTCCTCCTCCTCCTTTTCCTCCTTAGCACCCACCCCCTCCTCCTCCCCCTCCGTAGCCATTTTGGCTCAAGCCGTCCCAGGCCCAGGCGGGTCTTGCTGCTTCGAACTTTGGGACGGCATTGAAGTAGCGAGCCAACTGGCTCCCCCTCGGCTCACACCCGACACGTCTCTGCCATGGGCCTCGGCGGCGGAGGCAAAGGCGGCGGTGCTGGACCCTGGGGCGCGGCCCCCCTCGCAGGTGGCGGCGGCGGCGGCGGCCGCGGCGCTGCCGCAGGCGGTGGAGGGAAGGGCAAAGGGACTGCGGGCGACCCTCCTTGGTCGCAGGCCCGTGGCGCCGCGGGCACAGCGCCCTGGCAGTCCCGTCGCCCTCCCTCCCGCCGTGCTGAGCGAGAGCTCAAATGGCGGTGTGCATGGTGCAACTGTGCGCGCAACATGGACCACATGGTGTACTGCAAGCGCTGTGGCGAGTGGCGCACCGACGCACCCAGCCAGGGCGCTGACGCGGCGCTCGGTGGCGGCTCGGCGAGGAGGAGACCCTCGGCCCCCACTCGGTCTTTGTCTCTGCCTGATCGCCCTGCTGCTGGCGCCGCCGCAGATCCCAGCCTGTCAGAGGACGAGCTCGAGCACCTCGTGCGCCTCGCAGAGAAGGCTGGAGATGCACACGTTGCAGGTCGGTACAAGCAGCAGCTCCAGAACAAGAAGGCTGGAGACCCTCCCTTGCAGCAGCGCATATCCGACTGCGGCGCCAAGGTCGCTGAGCTCGAGAGTGTTTTGGATAAGGAAGTGCAGAAGCTCGAACAGTACCAGCAGTGGGCCGCACAGCAGCTCATCACGGTCACCGAGCTCACCGAAAGGCTGTCTCTGGCGGACGGTGAGTACAAGACCGCGGTCTCTGCTCTGGTGGGTGGGTCGCAGCAGCGGGCGAGTTCCCCCCCTGCGGTCCCTGCACGGTTGTCCATCAAAGAGGTGGTGGATGGCACGGGCAACATCGCCGATCTCATTGACGTGGACTCGTACTTCGATGTGGAGGGCTATGAGTGCACCGACGACGACCGTAAGCATATCATCGAGAGGCGTGACCAGCTGCGCGAGCAGCTGCAGGAGGTCGCCAAGGATCTGTTCTCGGGCGCAGTGGAGAAGCTCGAGGCAATCAAGAAGGACCACGCTGATCACCTCGCCCGCCTCACCAAGAAGCGCAAGGGCCCTACGGGTGACGGCATCGCTGCAGGTGGTCCCGCTGGGCCTGGAGGTGCAGCCGCGCAGGTGGCAGGAAGCGGTGGCAAGTCGCAGGCTGCTGCTGCTGACGCCAAGGCCGTGCCAACCGACAAGGACAAGCAGGTGGCCTTCGCCTCGGAGCGCCCGCCCACGCGCTCACCAGCGGCCAGGGCCGCCCGCTCGTCATCCATTCGTGAGCGTGCGGCTGCCTCCATCAAGGCTGCAGCGTCCACTTGTAGCCCCCCTGCCGCGCCTGAGCCAGGCGCAGCCGCCTGATCGTGGCAGGGGGGCTCGTTCTCAATGTAATTCAGGTCAGCTTGGTGGCAACCTCGGCCCGTGGAGAGTGCATGGGCACGCCCAGGTTGAGGAGTCCATCGGCTGCGTCCTGGCTTGTGCCTATACCCGCCTGACCCACTCCTCGTCGTCGGCGCTGGCCGCCCGAGCGAGCTTCAGGGTCAGCAGGCTTAGTGGTGTTCTTTCGGCCCAGTCCCCGCGCCCGTCTCGGGGCCCTGGCCCGTCTCCCCTGCCTAGGCCTCTGGGGTCCCTGGCCCAGACCTCTGGCAACCCTAGCGGGGCGGTGTGGGCGTGTGCCAAACCCGCTCGTGATTTTTTAGAACCCCCTCCACCCCCTGGAGCAGCTCAATTTTCCTCGAAAGTTGAGACACTGAATTGTACTGCCTGGTCGCCTCTGCAGAGATGGCCACCGCACTGCACTTCGCACGTCATCTTGTTGCAGGAGCATCACCTTCGACAAGGGGATGAAGCTGATCGTGCTTCGTCGTGGGCCAAGGTCCACGGGTGGCAAATCCTTCTCACTCCTGCCCTCTCTACCCCCATCTGGGGGTACGTCGGCTGGAGTTGGTATCATGGTTCGTAGTTTCCTCGGTCTCCGTCCGCCCTCAGGTGGGCATGTCTTGATCCCACACAGGGCGGTAGGTGCCATCATCAACATCCCAGGTGGCAACTCGATCTATGTCTCCAGTCTGTATTCGCACCACTCGCAGGGGCTCAGCGACTCGAACGTTGGCCTCCTGTCGCACGTGGCGGCTGCTCTGGAAGTTTGGTCTGGACCGTGCATCCTTGGGGCTGATTTCAACATGGAACCTTCGCGTTTCCTGGAGTCTGAGTTTGCGAGATCCTGTGGTGGCAGAGTTGTGGTCTCTGAGGCCGTTTCTGGATCGTGTCTTTCTACTGGTGGGTTTCGGCTGCTGGACTATTTTGTGGTTTCCAGCGGGCTGTCCAAGGGGCTGTCGAAGGTGTCTGTCGAACTCGACGCGTGCGCGTCGCCGCACTCGCCTGTCTCTCTGGAGTTTTACCCGCAGCTGGCGCAGCTTTATGGTCTGAAGTTCCGCCGTCCCCCACCCATCCCTGTGGACCCCATTGTTGGACCTCCGCCGCAGCCTCCCAATTGGGAACCTGATCGGGCTCTGGGCCAACAACTCTTGGGTGCCGTCGAGTTGGGGAAGTCTCTGCACGTCCAGAAGCTGTTAGATGCGGTGTTTTCTTCCTGGGCGAATTTGACTGAGCGGGAGTTGACTGACTCAAGAGGCGCGCAGCTCCCGTGCCTTGGATCCAGGGCAACGGCCCCGCAGATGAACTGGGCGCTGGTGTTGGAGCAGGACAGGGAGCCTCCAGCGCGCCAGCCTTTACACTATGCTATCAAGTGGCTACATCCAAAGCTTCGAACGTACATCTTCACAGCGGGGCTTCCGACACTGGCGTGCAGCGTCAGGCTGGCATTCTTCGTTCAACTATTTGTGCACCTCCGTCGTTCTTGAGCGAGGGCTTGGTGCATCACCAGCGCTGGCACGATCAAGTCCGCGTAGCTGTGGGGCAGCCTTTCAGCCAGGAGAACTGCGCATTGATCTGTGCGGATCTAGATGTGGCAGTTGCGGCTGCCGAGGCGATTGCACAGCAGGAGGCTTTGGCAGGTTGGAAGCAGTGGCTTTTAGATAAAGTTGAAGCTGGGGCAAAGCGTGCCCACTCTGTTGTTCGTGGCTTTACTCCGTGGGCTCCTACTACGGCCGTGTTGTCGAATGGTGTCGTCGTGGCTGACCCCCAGGCTCTCCTCGACGCTCAGGCTGCGCAGTATTCGGAGCTGTGGCACGCTCGCACTTGCACGCCACAGGCCCCGGACACTTTCCAGCCTCTACCTCCGCTTCCTCGACTCTCTCCTGATGAGCTTCGGGCTTGCAGTCGAAAGTTTCCGAAAGGCACGGCTACCTCTATCGACGGGTTCCACATGCGCCACTTCGCGTCGATGTCGGAATCTATTCTGCTATGGAGGTTAGCAGTCTCATTCCCAAGCAAGCGGCAGTTATTGCTATGTCTCTCATTGGCAAGCAGGCTGGAGGCTTTCGGCCGATTGGCCTCTTCTCTTCCATATACCGTCTTTGGGGTAAGGGGAGAAGAGGATATGCCACCAGATGGAAGGAGGATAATCGACGGCCGTTTTTTGTAGCTGGCAAGTTCGCCTCGTCTACTGACGTGGTGTGGCGGCAGTCGGTCAAGGGAGAGGTTGCTGTGAATGATGGTATGGTCTCGGCTATTTTGTTGTGGGGCCTGGTGAAATGTTTCGAGTCTATCAACCTCGACCTCCTCCTACTTCGTTGTGCGCAATATGATTTCAATATGTCTGTTGCGAGGATGGTGGTCGCCATGTGTCGCAACGCTCGTTTCATCACCATGGGTCAGATCTTGCGTGGCCCCTTTTATGTGGTGAATGGAGTTGTTGCAGGGTGCCCTTTTGCCACAACGATGGTCAGGATATTCATCATAGGGCCCCTCGACTCGGCAGGAATCCCGAAGACAGTTTTGTTGGACGTTTACATTGATGATTATGGGGTCTCGACTGTCGGTACCGTTTCAGAAGTTGTATATGACCTTTCCGAGGCGGCCACCTCCCTGCACGGTGCCATAGTGAATGATATCAGAGGCAGTATTTCACATGAGAAGGCCAACCTCGTGGCTTCTCATCGGCACGTTGCTGTTGCTCTCCGCGAGCGACCGGGGGCGCTAGCTGGCAAGCGGGTTGTTTCTTCTGCAGCAAACCTTGGGATCGATCACACCTCGGGACGGCCCCGTCGGGCCCCGAATCGGTCGAAGGTTTTCAAGCTTCGCATGCTCACGCTGAAGCACAAGACTAAACGACTGCAGAAGATACGACAGGCTATAGGTAGGCACTCCAGGAAGCTGTTTGTCACTGGACCCTTACCAGGCTACTACTACGGGAGTGAGGTCCACGGGGTCCCCGACAGGGAATGGGGCATTGCTCGTCGTGCTTTTGGTCGTTGAATCAGGCCCAAGGCTGAACCCTGCTCGCTCACTTTTGCTGTTATCCTGGATGAGGACCCGACATATTATTGGCCTATAGCACCCATCTTGAGGTACGCCAAGGAGCTCTGGGGAACCCACATGCGTACTTTTATTTTCACTTTGTCCTGGCAGGAACTCAGATCAGCTTGGGAGTCTGTGTTCCTGGGACCTGGGCCCGATAACTGGAAGCAGGTTTCGGGCCCCATCAGTGCTATGAAGCTCAGCCTTAGGCGTATCGGCTGGTCGATGCCTAGTTTCACGGTGATGAGGGATCAGTTCGGTATCGACCTGCCGCTTACTTTGGTCAGTCCAGCGCTGTTGAAGCGTCATCTTAGGCAGGCCGTTTTGCACCTTCATGAGCGTCGTGCTGGAGCGAAGTTCCTGCCGACGTTACAGCAGCCCGTTCGTGTATGTCATGACCAGGTGTATGTCGTGCTGCAGTCTTCGAAGTGGACCCCGCGCGAGAAGGGCTCCATTAAAGCCTTGGCCTGCGCAGCTGTGTGGACCAAGACTCGAGCACGTGACGCTGGATACGAGCTAGGTGATGTGTTTTGTGATTTGTGTGGCAGTGCGGGCGACGCAATCTTCCACAGATTTTGGCGCTGCCCTGCATGTGATGATACCCGCGAGGACGTACTAGGTAGAGATGCTCGGCTCGCCCCTCCTCTGGGCCCCACGGAAGATACTGATCTTGAGCAGTACCTCATGTACACCCGCGGTCTGTATGTGCATCCTGGGGACTACCTTCCTCGCCCTGCTCACGAACTTGACGGCCCAGGATCTGGGATTCAGGTTTCTTGGGCGGGGGGCCCGGACAACCGCAGCACCAACCTCGTCGGTAGGCTCTATGTAGACGGCTCCTGTTTGAGGAATGTGTCTCCAGAGCTCTCCAGGGCTGGGTGGTCGGTGGTTAGTGTTTCTGAGGAGGGGGATGCTCAGTGTGTCATTTCAGGCCCCCTCCTTGCGCATTTCCCCCAAACGTCCCAAGCTGCTGAGTATGCGGCGTACTGTTCGGCCTCCCAGTGTGGGGACGAAGGCAGCCACATCTTTAGTGACTGCCAGAGTGTGGTCAATGCCTCTCGAGACCCGATCCCCGCGAGGCTGTCTTTTCGTCGCCCTTATGCGGGTCTTATGTTGCAGGCGTTGGGCCCCATTGCCAGTGCTGTCAGTAAAGTCAAGGGCCACGTTCCTGACAGCCCAGATCTCACCCATGAGGCCCGTGCCCACAAGTTTGGCAATGATTGTGCTGACCAGGCTGCTCGCCTTGCCGCCCTGAGGCACCCCGCCCCTCATCCAGGGGATGCGGATCGTGCTGTGCGTGCGGCGCGTGTCTCGAGGGCTGTGTGTCGGCTGGCGGCTCGGGTGATGTCGCTCTGGCCGAGGCTTGATCTTTCGGAGGCCTCCTGGACCAAGCCCCCCTCTGCGCCGAGGCCTCCTCCCCTGCCCCCTCATTCCTGGTCCTGGGAAGGCAGGTTTTGGATTTGTGGTTTGTGTTTTCGGTGTGCCCGTGGATCCCAGAGGCCCCCTCCTGGTAGATGCCGTGGCTCGGCCACGATCAAAGGGCTCACGGGTCAGGGCTTGATTGACCACGGCCACAGACCCATTTTTTCGACGTGAATCAGGGTGGAGGCATCCTTGTCGCCTGCACCCGCTGCTACTACTACACGTGCGGTGGGCAAGCCAGGAAGCTCGGCAAGGTTTGTGTCGGACCTCCAGACACTAAGTGCAAGTCCGATCACGGTGGAATGCATGCTTGGGGTGAGATTTTGAAAGGCAGGCACCCCAAGTCTGGCAGCAGTCTCTCTACGGGGCTGGGCGACTCCAGCCACTCCACCACGGCCGACTCGGCCGCCGACAGCCAGGCGGCCGCGCCGCCCCCCCCGCCCGTCGTCCCGCCGTCGCCTCGTGCGTGCACTGGGGTGGGGGCGGGACGGACTGGGCCGCCTGGTGTCCTGGGATCTCTTTCCTCCTCCTCCCCCCCCCAACGCGGTGGGGACGGAGGAGCCTGTCGTCCCTCCCCCCCCCAAGGCGGGCGGGGGCGGGCAAGAGCAGCTCCGCAGGGCAGGGGCTCGCCTCCCCGACGAGGCCGATGCCCCTCTCGTGGCAGGAGCTGCTCGCGTTTGGTCTGCGGAGTCTGGCGACTCCGACTGACCTCGGTCCTGGGGTGCCCGTCGTGCGCGTCGGCCACCGCTTTGGTCCGTTGCCGACAGCTCTGTTTCAGCCCAGGCTGTTTCAAACTGTCAACTCACCTCTCTGGGTTGATGTTGAAAAAAAAAAAACCCTCCTCCTCCTCCTCCTTAGCACCCCCCCCCCCTCAGCACCCCCCCCCATCCTCTTCCTCCTCCTCCCCTCCGCCCTCCTCCCTCCTCCTCCTCCCTCCTTCCTCCTCCTCCTCCTCCCTCCTCCTCCTCCCTCCTCCTCCTCCTCCTCCTCCTCCTCCTCCTCCTCCTCCTCCTCCTCCTCCTTCCTCCTTCCTCCTCCTCCTCCCCCCCCCCCCTCCCTCCTTCTCCTCAGCACCCCCCATCGGTGCCCAGGCCCTGCGCCCGCCCCCCCCCCCGGGGCGCGGGCGAGCGCCCGGGCTGCCTCCGCGGGCCGCGGGCAGCGTGCTGCTGGGCGTCTTCGCAGCGTGGCTGCCCGCCGATCTGGCGGCGAGGGCTTGCGCGAGGCCCTCGAGGATGCCATCATCATCATCATCATCATCAGCAGCATCAGCATCAGCATCAACATCATCATCCGTAGCAGCATCAGCAGCAGCATCATCATCAGCATCAGCATTAACATCATCATCAGCATCATCATCATCATCATCATTATCATCCTTATTCCCATCCTCATCCTCATCATCATCCTCTCCTCCTCTTCCTCCTCCTCATCACCATCATCGTCAGCATCATCATCATCGTTAATATCGTCATCATCATCATCATCATCATCGTCATCGTCATCGTCATCGTCAGCACCACCATCGGCGCGACGCCTTTGCAGCCGATCTCCGAGACGCAGTTCCTGCCCTACACGCGCTGCTCCCTGAGGGCCCCGAGGTATATCACGCCGAGCTTATCCGGGTCGTTCGGAGGCTGCAGGAGACGCAATTATTCTCTGAGACCACGCTGGTAGCGCGAAGGCCATGGATCTCCCAGACCACCTGGCAGTCTGTCATGCAGGCACCGCGGATTCGCCAGCAGACGGTTCGGGCCATCTGGGCCACCAGGCAGGCGAAGCTCCGTTACTTCTTGAAGGCCTGGCAGCATTCCCTCACGAAGGATAGCGAGAGCCCCCGCCTCCAGCGCAGGCACATCTAGCAAAGCTTGCATTCCGAGGCCGTCCACGTCCAGCAGCTGGTGCGCCACCGCAGCCCGGTAAGATCAGCGTCAAGAGCCGATCGCCAGCAGTGAGCTGATCACCTCGCCGCACGGGCGCAGGGGGCAGACGACCGGCACGATAACAAGACCCTCTACGAGATCACTCGTGAGATTCGCGCACCTCGGGGGCAGCGTGCGCTCCGTGCCGTGCGTCATGGAGATGGTCAACTCCTTCTTGACCCCCAGGACATATTGGACCGATGGCGCCGGCATTGGACCGAACTGTTTGCGGGAGAGGTCATTTCCATGGACCAGTTGCTCGCCAACCCTCGAGGGTCCCAGTGCCTCCCGAGGGGATATCCATGGAGCGCGCCCGCGTCAAGGCGGACATGTGGAGACTGAACCCCTGGAAAGGCTTGGGCCCCGATGGCATCGGCATCTCGGTATGGCGTGCTGGCGACGAGGCGTCGCTCGACTCGTTCCTGCCGCTGTTCGACCTCTCTGCTTCTCGATGCCAGCTCCCAGTCAGCATGAAGGGGGGCAAGATCTTCGAAATCTGGAAGTGCAAGGGCGATATCTTCTTGCCCCCGCAGAGTCGCGGCATCTTGGTTTCCGACCACCTGTCCAGGCTCTACACCATGCAGATATCGGACCCTGTCTACCACGTATTGCCGGATGCAGTAGGGGATGCGCAGTGTGGCGCAGTCCCAGGACGAGACACGCTTCTCCTGACCGTCGGTTTGCAGACCTTCGTAGAAAGAGCGATCCACATGCGCCAGTGCTGGGCCATCCTATTCTTCGGCCTGGCCGAAGCCTTTGACAGCGTCATCCGGGAGTACCTCTACGGAGCTGGTCACCGACAGCTGCTCGTACTTGCGGATCGGCTGCATGATCTAGGCATCGACCGCGTGACGTGGCCGACGAGACCCACCGCTACCTGCAGAACAACCCCTCGCTCCTTCGAGCGGCGGGCATATAATGCACGAGCACGCCACCGCAAAGGCTGGTGACCTCCACTCCGATAGGAGGAGGGGGAGGGGGAGGGGGAGGGGGAGGGGGAGGAGGAGGAGGAGGAGGAGGAGGGGAGGAGGAGGAGGACGAGGAGGAGGAGGAGGAGCGTGGTTCCAGGTGCGAGGTGCAGGGCCCTGCGGTCGCCGCAGACGGCGGCGCTCTCGTCAGGGCGGTCGGCTCGGCGCGGCGTGCTCCCACATCGCCTACGAGCTGGCCCTCAAGCGAGTGCGGCACAGATTCCAGGAGAGCGGCATCCTCCTCCTCCTCCTCCCTCCTCCTCCTCCTCTCCTCCTCCTCCTCCTCCTCCTCCTCCCCCTTCTCGTCGTCCTCCTCCTCCTCCTCCTCCTCCTCCCTCCTTTCCCTCCTTTCCTCCCGATTCCAGGAGAGCGGCATCCAGCTCAGCATGAGGATGTCCACGCACGCCTCCGTGCCCTGGGCAACCGATTTCGACCGCAGCCCCGGTCACGTCACTTCGCAGCAGGCTCCCAGCGATACGAGCACTACGTGGACGACGTCACAGTCGAGTTCCTGGCCGACTCCCCTCAGGAGTTGCTCGTCCAGGTTGACCCGGCAGTGGACATCATCACCGAGGAGTTCCGCAGGGTCGGCTTCGTGATCAACGTGGGACTTGGGAAATCTGCGATCATTGCGTGGATGTACTGCCAGGGCTCCCGTACGACCTGGAGGACACGTTTCCTCTCCATGGGGCGGCCGGTCTATCGATCACCTGCAGGACTAGAGCTCGATGTTGTACATGATTTCCCGCACCTCGGCACAACGCTGCAAGCGTCTGGTCGGCACATCTCGGATGCCAAGCAAAAGACGTCCAAGGCCCAGCTAACCTACGCCCCCCCAGCAGTGCACATTTTTGGATGCAGCTCCCTGCGGTGCTCCACGCGATCGACTTTAGCTACAAGCTTGGTTTTTTGGAAGAGTCACTACGGCATATCAGCCTGGCGTGGAGACGACCCTCAAGCCATGGCCATTATGAATGGCCAGTACCATCGTGTCCTCAGGAGGATCTCGGGCGACATGCGCTACGGGGCCCGTGACACGGCCACCGACGAGGAGGTCAGGCAGACGGTGCACGCCCCGCTCTTCGCGTCGATGGTCCAGGCCCGGAGGCTCTCCCAGCTCGCATCCCACTTCACGGCAGCGTCAAAGGTAGTCCAGATGATGGTCGAGGCTCTCCCGAAGCCCCCGTCGGCGCAGATGCTGCTCTACGACCTCGAGCAGTTCGCGGTGTCTTTCCCCGACGTGGGGCAGAAGCTCGGCTCGCCCTCCGCACGCCCGGAGAAGTGGAAGGCATACATCGTCGAACCCCCTCGGCGCTGGAAGAGCCAAGCCGCCCTGATGAAGTGGTGGATCCCTGACTGGCCCGACCCGCCGGCCACGCGCAGGCTGAGGGGGAAGCAGACCCCTCCCCCTCCGGCTGCCGCGGCCCAGCCTTTTCTCACTTGCCCCGCTTGCGGCAAGCAGTGCAAGGGTCCGCAAGGCTTGGCCGCGCATTTAAGGCGCAAGCACGGCAGGAAAATGACTTTTCGCAGTTTCTGCATTGGGTCAGTGTGCCCAGCCTGTGGTGTAGATTACCACATCCGTCCTAGGGCGTTGCACCACTTATAATTCTCTTCCGAAGCGTGTCGCGCCGCGATGCTCGCAGAAGAGCTGCACGAGTGTAGCGCGGAGGAGATATCCGCCTCGAATTTACGCGACCGCATCACGCAGAAGGCCGCTAACCTTCGCGGCGACACCCAGGCGCGCGCACTAGCCCCGCCCTCGCGCGGCCCTGGCGCACGCAAGCGTGGAATTGGCCCGCGGGGTCCTTCCGGACACCAGCGCCGAGCGAAGGTCCGACGACACAGGTAGAACACGATTCATATCGAGACGTTTTTTCGTGTCAGCATCCGTGATGACAGGGGATCCCTTTCACCTGGTGTGAGTTTTCTCCCCTTTGAGCAGAGGCACCACGCCTCGTGCTGCTGGGGTTTCTCTCGACACAGCAGCAGCAGTCATTGAAGAGCTCCAGACACCGCCTCTAGCCAGCGCAAGTCAAGTCATCACCATCACCATCATAATCAGCAGCAGCACCATCATCAGCACCAACATCATCCTCATCATCATTCTCATCATCCGCATCATCATCGTCGTCGTCATCATCGTCAGCATCGCAATCACCAGCATCACCCTCATACCATCATCACCATAATTTTACCATCATCATCATCATGTTCAACCTCATCAGCATCCTCATCATCCTTTGAAATCATCCTCATCACCGTCGTCGTCCTCATCGTCATCATCGTCATCGTCAGCATCACCATTCTCATCATCATCATCAGCACCATCACCATCATCCCCATCATCCTTCTCATCCTCCTTATCATCATCATTTTCGTCGTCACCATCGTCATCATTGTCATCGCCAACATCACCATCATCACCATCATACTCATCATCATCACCATCATCATCAGCATCATCATCATCCTCATCGTCGTCGTCACCGATTTGGCGGCAAGGGCTTGTCGGTGATGGTGGGAATATTCGTGCTACCGAGATGGCCGAAACATCAACACCACGCCAGAATCCAGGGTCATCTTCCCCTGGCGGAGGCAACCGCTTGATATTGTCTCCGATATTATGGCCGCCTCACTTATGGTGCGGCTCGGGAGGAGCGGGGCGGAGCGGAGGCGGAGGAACGGGGCATCTATCTCTCTCTCTTTCCGCTCTCCCTCGGCACTGTCCTCCTGCTCTTCCCCCCTGCTCATCCGCCACCGCCTTCTCCGACTGCGCATGGCACGGTGGGGTCCTCTTTGGAGTTCCAGGTCCGCCATGACACGCGTCGGCGAGTGGAGAAATCAGCGCCCTGGGAAATGATGGGCGGGGGCCGTCGGATGTCAGATGTGGCGCGAACGCGCCTAGCTTGACTCTCTGCCCACTCCTTCCCCCCCTCCCCCTCCTCGTCTTCGTTCTGGTCCTCCTCCTCCTCCTCCTCCTCCGTGCCCCCCCCAACCTCTCTCTGCTTATTCTTCTTCTTCGCTTCGTCGTCTTCGTCGTCGTCCTCCTCCTCCTCCTCCTCCTCCTCCTCCTCCTCCTCCTCCTCCTCCTCCTCCTCCCCCTCATCCTTCCTGTCCCTCTTCTCCTCCTCCCCCCCCTTTCGGCCGCTGTCCAGCGCGCCGCGCGCGCTCGCCCGCCCGCCACAGACCCACATCGCCGCCGAGGAGAGGGTTCTGAACAACGAGACGGCCGCCATGGGCCGCCGACGAGAGAGCGGGGGAGGGCGGCGCGGACGAGGGACCCTTCCTTTGTCGAAGAGAAAAAACGCCATACGCCATACACGCAAACTTTTGGCGCTCCGCGCGGGTTTCTTGGCTTCGCGCTGGGCTCCCCCCCGGCGGCGCCTCCAGCGCCGGCCCTGGCGCGCAGAGCGCGCCAGGGAGGGGGGTCCAGCGCAGATCCAAGAAATCTGCGCGGAGCGCAGACAGTCATGTTTATGCAAGTTGTTATTCTTCTCCTCTCCCTGTTTTTGTACGTATGGCCTTTTCGGCCCATCCCGCCACCGTGCCCGGGTTGTTGGTCAGAGTTTTTGTTAGATATTTTTGGGGTTTTGTTTGGAGGTCTCTCGGGAGCCTCTGGCGTGCAGTTTTGAAGCCTCTTGGGAGCGTCTTGAGGGTATCTTGGGAGCCTCCTGGCCCTCACCTCCTCTCGCTGGTTCTAATACACAAGAAAACACGACGAGCGGTTTAGAGCAATTCTCTGTCTCTGGGTGGGGCCTTTACTTGGCCCCCTGGGACCAGCAAACAACGATGCAGAATGAAAATCCAGTCCTGGGGAAGGGGTTCAGATCTCCAGGAGACCACGCCGCAAAAAAACTGCATCGGAGTTCTGGGAAACGGGGGCGAAGACCCCTAGACTGTCTGGATAGTACAGAATGAGTGGGTACGAAAAGGATTGGCACGAAAACAGAAGTCCTGCCCATTTTGTGCAGCACTCGCTGCTGGTGTCGCGGCGGACGTTGTCCATTCGAGGCAAGAATGTCGCCTGCCCAACATTGGCCGCTTTCGGTTTGGGACAAGATCTTCGGTAGGGTATCGTGGGCCAAACGCTCAGGAATTGCCCCTGGTTGCGTTGCTAAAGTGGAGTTCCGCGGCGCAGATTCTGCCTGTTTTTGTTTGTTTGTTATTGTTGCTGTTGTCGTCGTGCCCACCCGCGTTCCGCCCGAGACCCACCCGCGACCCACCCCGCGACCAAGACCCACCATGCGACCCACCCGCGACGCACCCGCGATCCATTCGCACTCCCCCAAAATGCTTTGACGAAAAGATCGGCGCCTGCGGCGGGCTTCTGCAGAGCCTCGCAGGCTACCGACGACCCCGCCGCCTCCTGATTCTGATGCGCAACTCCCGGGGCTAGGGTATTAGTCTGTTTGCCGCGCGCAGTTGAAGTTGTGCCAGAAGAAAGGGGGGGGACCCCAGATAAAATGAGGAGACGAGCAGCGCCGAGAACGAGGCGCGCCGTCGTGTCGGCGCGCGCGCGCGAGGTCGCGGCGCAGCTCGCCAAGATCAGCGCCGGCGCCTGCTTCGACGACCCCCAGCGGGGGGCTCGGCGGGGGCCGCGAAAATATTTGAGCTACAGCGAGCAAACAAGTAATAGTTTGTCCAGCACCACAAGAGCTACAACATTTCAGCCTAGCACCCCTCACGGTTGCTATGGCAACCAAGAAAATATGCCGGCGCGAGGCGGGGAGGAGCTGCTGGAGGAGGGGGAGGCTGGAGAAGGGCGAGGGGGCGGAGGAGGGGGGACGCTCTTGGGCGCAGACCCCTTCTGGGGCGGTCCGCTCCTCAGGGGCCGAGAGCTGCTCGTTGCCGGGGACCTCGGACGAGTTCGGGATGGCACCGACCGTGCCTTCGGATGCACTGAGGTTCCTGCGCCCGCGCACGGTCGTCCGTCGCGCTCCGAAGGTATCGGCTCGAGTGCTGCCTCCAGCCCCGAGCGGCGCGAGGCACGCGGATCTCATTATGTTTCCCTGTGGCCTGGGGGCAGATTGCTTCCCTCCCTCTCCCGCCCTCCTCGTTCTTCCCCTGTCGTCGTCGTCCCTATTTCTCCCCGCCGCCCCCCCCCTGAGGCAATGCCTCCGTGCGTCTTGTCCACCAGGTGGGCCTTCGGCCGCCCTGTGGCCCCCCGTCTCCCCCCGCCTCTGTGTTGCGGCTCCTCCTTCCGTTTCGCCTCCCTCCTCGGCTGGCTCCTCCCCTCCTTCGTGCTTTGCCTTGCCCCCCTGGTGTGTGGTTTCGCCGTCCTTCCCCTCGGCCCCTCTGCCCCCAGCGGTCGGCCCGTGTCCCTCGCGGCCGTCCCTTTCCGTCTTCGGCTGCTCGCTCTCGCTCCTTGCTCCTCGCTGCCCCCTCTCCTTGCCTGGCCCTCCTCTCCCCTCTCCTGCTGGCCCCTGCGGGGGTCCTGAGCAACTCTGGCCAGCCTTGGCCTCGGCGCCGTGTGCGTTCCTTGGCCGCCGCCTCGGCTCCCGCCGGCCTGGCTGCTGCTTGACCGCCCCGTGGTGGGCCAGCTGCCCGCCCGCGCTCGCGCGTGCGCCGCCGCCTCGGCTCCTGCCAGCTCCCGGCCCGCTCGCTCGCGCCGGCCAGCGCCACGGAGTGCGCTCCTGGCCGCCCAGCGACCGCAGCTGCGTGTGCTGGCCCGGCCCGTGCTCTCCCGCTCGGCTTGCCCTGCGCCGCGCCGCCGCGCGCGTGCTCACGATGCCCAACGGAGTCTGCGTTGCGCGCGCGTGTGTGTGTGTACACCGCCAGAGCAGTCGGTCTGCGTAGCCGCCGACGCAAAAAGTGTGTAAGTGTGTGTGTGTGTGTTTGTGTGTGTGTGTGTTTGTGTGTGTGTGTGAGTGTGTGTGTGTGTGTGTGTGCGTGCGTGCGTGCGTGCGTGCGTGCGTGCGTGCGTGCGTGCGTGCGTGCGTGCGTGCGTGCGTGCGTGCGTGCGTGCGTGCGTGCGTGCGTGCGTGCGTGCGTGCGTGCGTGCGTGCGTGCGTGCGTGCGTGTGTGTGTGTGTGTGTGTGTGTGTGTGTGTGTGTGTGTGTGTGTGTGTGTGTGTGTGTGTGTGTGTGTGTGTGTGTGCGTGCGTGCGTGCGTGCGTGCGTGCGTGCGTGTGTGTGTGCGTGTGTGGGGGGGGGGAACAACAATTCCCAGGACTTCCCACGTGAGTTGCGCCTCGCCAAAAGTGGTTAGGGGGATGCCCAGACTGTCCCAAGCATGTTTTGGCAGAGTTCTTGTCGAAGAACCGAAGAACCGTCACGTCGTAACAGATGGACGCGCTTCGAGCAGCCATTCAGGATGGAGCTTGGGAAGGTTTGAAGACTCCCTCGGACGAGATTACAGAAAGTGCCTTTGCGACACCAGGCGACCTGTCCAAACAGTACTCCGTCGCTTCGGCTGAGGGAATCCCGCGCGCACGCGCGCTGAGGGCAGAAGGCGCCGCGGTGCCCCCGCGCCACACGATGGGCCGCGGCCGACCAGATTGCTGTCCAGGGCCGCTGCCGCTGGAAGGAAGCGATGAACCGCCCCAGCTGGCCTTCGCCGCCACCCACCAGGCGCAGCTCAGGATGGCCCTCGGCAGCGCCAACAAGGCCGTCGAGTCGGCCGAGTCCGCCCTTGCCGGCATGGCGCGGCGCAAGCTCGCAGGCCGCCCGGCCCTTGAGGCGACCTCGGACGAGTACCACCTGGATGGCGGCATCTGGGAGCCGACGAGCTGGCAGGGGGCCGACGCAGGGAAGCGGGCGCCGTCAGACCCGCGACGTGGCCAGCTGGGGGCCGAGCTCCAGGAGGCCCTGCGAGAGCACCGCGCCGGCCTCCAGGAGGCGGCCGCGCGCCACGAGGCCTCGCTGCGCTCGGGCGCGGAGGCGACGCTGCAGCGCCTCGGCGCCGAGCTGGCGGCGCTCCTGAGGGGCCTCGTCCCCGCCGACGGGCTGGGCCCGGCCGAGGCGCTGCGCCCCGGCGTCCCCGCCGTGCCCGCGCTGGCCGCGTCCGACGAGCGCCCGGGCCCCTGCGCCGGGGCGCGCGGCGCCGGCGGTCTGCCCGGCGCCAGCTCCCGCGACGCGGGCGCCACGGCCCCCTCGGGGGCTGGTCGGGAGCTTCCCCCGGGCGCGCTGCGGGGGGGCAGCGGCGGCGGCCCCCAGGTGCTGGGCCGGGAGGCCGCGGCCCCGCAGTTCTCGCTCGTCGCCCGGCGGCGGGAGAGCGACTTCGCCACGGTGCCGAGAGGGGCCCCCTCGCCGCGGCCGGCCTCTGAGGTGTCGGTGTCGACCAGGGGGGACGCGTCCGGGAGGTCGGGCCCCGTGGGCCCCGTGCCCTTCGGCATGGGCCAGTCGGAGCTCGACGGCGAGGACACGGGGGGATCCCATTCCAACAGGATGCTCGTGAAGAAGTGCATGGAGAAGTACAAGTCGAGGGCCCGCACGAGCAGCCACTTTCGATTCCAGGGCGCGAGGGTGCTGAAAGCTCGCCTGAAGTGGGTGCGCCACAACTCGTTCGACTACGTGGTGTCCTGCATCATCATTGTCAACGCGGTCTATCTAGGTGTTCAAACGGCTCTGTTTCTCAGTAGCGCCCGGCGCAACTATGACCTCTGGCCACCTGGACATACGGGCGATGTTGCTAATGAAGACGCCAGGTGGGTCTGGCTCACTATCGACAGCATATTCGCACTTGTCTTCGTCATTGAGATTATGCTGAGGATATGCGCCTATCAACTCAAGTTTTTCTTTGGAAGTCAAAGGTGGTGGAACGCGTTTGACTCTTTCACGTGTTTTGCAACGGTGTGTTCTGTTCTTCTGGACCTGGTCCAACTATACCCTGGTTTTGGCGTCGATTTGTTGAAGATGTTTCGCCTGGCTCGTACAGTCCGAACATTGAGGTTATCCAGATCCAAGCTCTTCCACACCCTAAAGACATTGAGCTACACTGTAGCTGGGAGCGCTAATGCGTTCTTGTCCGCCGTCCTCTTGCTGGCAATCGTCATTTTCATGTTTGGCACGACTCTCATGCAGGGGCTACAGTCTCACCTTCTCCTAGCTGACGCAGCCAGTGACGCAGCAGCAACAGAGAGGCTGGTGGAATATTTCGGGACTTATCAGTTCACTGTCGTCACTCTGTTGGAGTGCGTCACAGGCGGAAGGGATTGGAGGGACGTGTCAGATGCTTTGTTCACCATCGGGCCACAATATGCGTGGTTTTTTGTTCTGTACATCGTGTTCACAGTCCTGTGCGTCTTGAACATTCTAAACGGTGTTTTCGTGAACGCTGCCATTGAATCTGCCCAGGCAAATAAGGAGCTTGCCATCGAAACGACTCATCACAAGACGGTCGCTCTTATAGAACAAATGGTGCAGTGGTTTGTCGACGCTGACGCGGATAGGTCAGGCAAGGTGTCGTGGAAGGAGTTGCGCAATCTCTTGGCGGATGCGAGGGTACGGAATTTCTTGCAGGCCAACGGCATCGATGCCTCCAGTGCTGGTCGTATTTACCATCTCTTGGACAGGAAAGGCGCCGGGGAGCTCGAGCCTGAAGAGTTCGTGGACAATTTGATCGCGCTGCAAGGCCAGGCAACGGCAATCGATTTGGCGTCACTCCGAGTGGTATGCGAAGGGATGTCTCGTAGAGTCGCTGGCATAGAGGATCGGCTTGGCGCGATGCTCTCGGGCCCCGCCCCCTACCAATGCTACAACGCACCAGACTAGAGCTGCGGATGTGCAGGACAGCACCGGTGCGATGGTCTCGCGCTGGGCCCCTTACTGGACAACTGGTGGCCTGAGTAGCGTTGAGTAGCCCTCATGGCCCTCAGCGAAGGCTGCGCCCCCTCCTCTTCCCTCTTCCTCCTCTTCCTCGTGCTTCTCCCACGCCTGCCCCCCATGCCCGTGATGGGTGCTCAGCCCCTCGCGCAGAGGGCTGGGGAGGGGTGGGTCGACGGGGCGGGGCAGGGCACGCTCGGCCGTCGGCAAAACTGGCCCCAGTTTTTCTCCCGCCAGGGGCCCCGGGACCCCACACAGGGGGGAGTTTTCAAGCCACGCAGGCCGGCCGCGGAGCCATCGCGGCGTCCCCGCACCCGCATTCTGCAGACGCGCGCTTCGGCGTCTTGGGCAGCCAGCGCTGCGGCGGCGAGAGGCAGGGAGGGGAACTGGGGGGGGGACTTGCTCTGGGCAGGGGGGAGGGACAGGAGGGATCACGGAAAATCGACAGCCGTCCGAGGAGCGCGTTTGTCATTCTTCCCCAACCGTCTTGTGGTGTTGGGTTTTCCTTTTGAAGAGACAGCGCCCCGCGTCCTCCTCTTCTCTCCTCTCCTCTCCTCTCCTCTCCTCTCCTCTCCTCTCCTCTCCTCTCCTCTCTACTCCTCCCCATTATTCTCCTCTACTCTCCTCCTCACCTTCCTCCATCTTCATCTTCATCTTCATCATCATCATCATCAGCAGCAGCATCATCATCATAATAATCACCATCATCATTATCATCATCATCCCCATCATCATCGTCGGCATCATCACCACCACCATCAGCATCATCATTACCATTATCATTCATATCATCAGTATCATTGATTGTCAGTCGCGTCAACATCATCATCATCATCATCATCATCATCATCAACATCACCATCACCAGCATCATCGCCGTCATCATCATCACTGTCATCATCATCATCGTCATCATCGCCATCATCATCGTAATCATAATTGCCATCGTCATCGTCACCATCGTCATCATCATCATCATCATCATCATCATCATCATCATCATCATCATCATCGTTATCACCATCATCACCATCACCATCATCACCATCATCATCATTATCACAATCATTATCATCATCACAATCGTCGTCATCCTAATCACCATCGTTGTCATCATCGTCAGGAAAGGCAGCAGGATTAGCATCGGCAGCGGCATTATCATCATCACCAACATCATCAACATTATTTCCATCAGCATCATCTTCATCACCATCATCATTATCATCATTCATACCACCCATAATCGTTATCACCAGCATCACCACCATCATCATCATCACCATCATCATCAATATCGCCATCATCAGCATTATCAGCGTCATCATCATCAGCACAATCATCACCATCACCACCACCACCACCATCAACATCATCATCATCATCATCATCATCACCATCACCATCACCATCCTCATCACCATCATCATCATCATCATTATCATCAGCATCAACGACATCAACATCAGCATCAGCATCAGCATCATCCTCATCAGCATACTCATCATCAGCTCCCTCATCATCATCAGCATCAAACGTAAGCATCAAGGCCACGTCATCATCACCACCATCGTCATCATGATCGCTGCCCCCCCATGTTTCGTGGCCCCATAGGGGGCTCCAGCGTAGGCCCCAGTGGAGCAGCCCGCATGCGTCCCAGCCGCACACCCCTCGCACGTTGCGTGGCCCCATAGGGAGCTCCACCGTAGGCCCCAGTGGCGCAGCCCGCACGCGTCCCATCCGCCCATTACGGCACAGCCTCACACGTTTTGTGGCCCCATAGGGCGCTCCACCGACGGCTCCTTTGGCGCAGCCCGCATGCGTCCCATCCACCCATTGCGGCACACATTTGCACGTTTCGTAGCCCCATAGGCTTCAGTGGCGGCGCCCGCACGCGTGCCATTCACCCATTTCGGCACACCCCTCACACGTTTCGTTGTCCCACAAAGAGCTCCTCTGAAGGCCCCAGAGGCAGTGCTCGCGTGACGGCCCCGCCTCCCATTTCGGCATACATTTTGCAGTGTTCGTTTCCCTAGAGGGGGGTCCACCGAAGGCCCCAGTGGCGCAGCCCGCATGCGTCCCCGCCACCTATTTCGGCATACGTTCCTCACACGCTTCGTGGCCCCATAGGGACTACCGCCCCGTTGGCAGCGCCCGCATGGCGGTCCCGCCCCATTTCGGCACACCCTTCACGCGCTTCGTGGCCCCAGAAGGAGACCCACCGAAGGCGGTACTCATAACCACAGTATTCACAGCTGCATCTGGCTGGGTCCTTCGCCAGGCTAATTTGCATCCTACTGCGAAGGGTTCCACGTCTTCGGCTGGATCGAGGGCTTCGGCTGTGCCTGGCCAGCTTCACGGGAGGGGTCGGGTCCCAGCTAGTGCGGGGGGTTGCACGTTGACGGGCGGGGAAGGGAGGGGAACCACGGCGAATGATGACTTCCCGGTTGCGCGCACCCGCCACGCCGCAAGACCCCCCCGGGCCCGAACCGAACCGAACCCCCTCCCCGTCTTTCGCCCTCCTTCCCTGGCTCGTGCTGGCACTCCGCGGGTGTGACGGTGCCCTCGCCCTACTCCGTTGGCGTCGGCATCATGGGCACGCCCTCGCCTTCGCCTCTCCCTTCCCCCGCTGCTTCCTCCCTCCTCGTTCCTCCTCCCACCTCCTCCCCGAAGCTGGCGGGCGACGGGTCACGCGCGGCTCGCTGCGCCTCGGGGCGCACCCGCGTGCTGCCTCCGCGATCTCAGCCGACCCCCCGGCGGCTCTGTCCCTGGGGACTCCCCGCTCGCCGATGCCGAAACACCAGAGAGTCGGGGACCAAAGAGTGGCATAAGCATAAAAACTCGGAGGTCCGCGCGGATTTCTCTTATCAGCGCTGGGACCCCCTGGCGGCGCCTCCGGCGCTGCCCCTGGCGCGCTCCGCGCGCCAGGAAGGGGGGTCCAGCGCCGATCCGAGAATTCCGCGCGGA